TGTCCGATGTTGTAAATGGATGGTTGTTCTAATCTCCTGAGAAGAATACTGTTCAATGTCCCTATGCAAAATCTAACTACACCAATCATGATGAAACTAGATTTGTGTCTATTCTGTAGGGCAGTTTGTACTTTATTATTCTATTTGTATATATATATATATATATATATATAAAAATTATGAATGAAAAAATATTAAATTAAATAATATATATATATATATATATATAGCTGTGTCTTGAATTACCGACGGATCAACCCACAGCCTAAGCCACAGGTCGTAGAGACCTAAAAGTTGGAGTACGTGCTCTGCGTATAAACAACTTTTCTTCCGTGAACTGGAACTGGAATCGGTTCTATAACCACAACGCCGCTGGGTTCTGCGTCTTGATGTTATTCCACAAGTGGAAGGGCCAATTGGAGCTGCTTACGAACTACAGACGGTTTGTCACGAGCAGCTTTTTTTTCATGTCAGTATTACATTAGAAATTGATATTCCCTGCCGAAGGGCGACCGCAATTGAAATAATTAATTTTCTATAAACTTGATTGTGTATCGGACCAGAGCTCGAACTCTTGCCTTCCGAATGGTGGCGCCAATCACTCGAAAATTGCGACTGCGTGTTAAAATAAAATTAATACTGTAATAAACCTAATAGGAACCGTCTTAAAACTGCATGCGAACGAAGTCGCGGACAAACTCTAATATAATAATAATAACTTTAAATAGTCATAAGTTCTCTTTGTCAGTAAGAAGTTATTGTTTAATTTCACTGAAATAAATAATTATAATAAATTAAAGTAAAATTAACTTAAATTGCTTAATTAAAAAAAAAATTAAAAAAAATTAAAAATAGTAATTTGCTTCTTTTAACTATTATTCAGTTAACTATTATTTAATTCAATATATTTTTTTATTAATTTGTTTTTTTTTTTTAGATCTGTATTTTATGTTTTTTTACAAGATATTTAAATATTTCTTTTATTTTATATACACATTATTTTTGCGCACTGGCAGTGAATTCAAGTATCTTTCTGTGTATGAGTTTCGTGATGAATCTGCAGGTTAATTTCATATTTTTATGATTTTATATTTTACTTATTTTAATTATTATTTTGGAACAAAAAATTTTGCTGTTACTTTTTGCTTATAAACTTTAATAAAGACATGAGGAATACATGAAGCGAATGCATGTTTTAGTTGCTTCGATGAGCAGAGCATGACCTCGCTGATTTTGAGCACTCACCTTTCATAATTTTAGTGAAATATTTTCACTCCTTACAATCCTTAACTTCTATTGCTAGTTTTGGATTGGATTGAATTTGAAAAAGTCACTTCGTTTTAAATGATATCCTATAGGTGCTGAACATAACAAACTGAAATCAAATTGAATTCGACTAAACAAAGGTGAAGGCTCGTTTCTGAAAACAAAAGCGCACAAAAATTTTCTCTCCAATTAGAAAAAGCTTCAGCATCGAAACAGTCGGTTGCAATATAGTACCAAAACTCACTACAGTTGAACAAACGGAAAACTAAAGCAACAAAAAACAATTTTAAAAAATTTTTCATAGAAATTAAAATTTAATTTATATATTTCAACAAATTTTTACTTCATAAATGGAAATAAAGAAATAAAATATAAATTGTTTATTTATATATAATTTTATTTTTGGTTTTGCATTTCGGGTTTGTTGAATTTTTTTAGTGTAAATATGGCTTTTTAATGTTTTTTTATTCTATTTTTAATTTTGAATTTAGTTTAATTCGCTAAATTCTCTTCTTACACAACTTGACTTATGCCATTTATTCATTTATCGTAAATACATTTGAATGATTCATTTTTTTTTTCAAACTCACATTATAACTATTTAAATTAGCTTATTATAATTTTAATTATATATTTATATTTTTATAAAAAACAAATCATATTTAACAACAATAATACAATTGCATAATTACATAATGCATACAAGTATGTATAGTAAGTACAGTATCTACTAATTTATAATTAATTCATGAAGACTACATTAAATATTAAATAATTTAATTATAAAGTATGTTGAAGTTTTTTTTTTTTTTTAACTAAACAACTGTGTTTTTTATTTATTTACAAAAATGCTTTCGATGTAAAAATTCATTTGTTCTTGTTGTTGTTGATGCTAATAATTTTCTGCTGCTACCAAATAGATATATCTAGAGATTTTCAAATAAAAATAAATTAATTGAACATTTTTGGCGAAAAGTTTGCTTCAAATAAAGACAATAAAATATTTTTTGGCGATAACAGCAACAGAAATTAGCAACAATAACACATATTTTATCTATATAGTATGTATTTATGAACAAACTAATTTGAAACAAGAATTTTTTCACAAATTATTTTAAAACTAGCTCGGAATTTTTTTTTTGTATTTTTTTAAATCTATATAACATAACTTTTTTATCGTAAATAAGCATTGGAATTGCAAGAACACGCGCTCGCTTCACTTGTCAATACTGCAAAGTATGCATATATTTGTATATGCAAGGTGGAATGGTTCAAATTGTCAAGGATTAATATTTATGAAATTAACTTTTATAATATAATATATTATATAAAGCAAATTTCAGAAGTAGATAAGTTAAAATTCAATAAGTAACTCAAATAAAAATAAAATTAAAATTAAAACTACAATAAAAATTCAAATTCAAACTCAAGATTATTTTTAAATTAAAATTTAAATTTAATTCAATGTCAAATTCAATTTCAATCTCAAATTAAAATTAAAATTAAATTTAAATTATAGTTCTAAATTACATATACATTAAATGAAATTAATATAAAATACAAAAAAAAAACAAATAAAATCAGCAAATATAATAAGGAAAGTAAAAAAATCAAAAATAGAAACAGAAAAAAAAATAAATTAAATATAGCATAAAACGAAACTAAATTGAAGAATTCAGCAAAATAAAAAAGTTAATTTTTAATTAAAACAAAGATCTTACTTTTTTAAATATGAAATAAAATTAATTAAGGTAATAATAAATATATTAATTAGTTAGTTAGATAAAATAAAATATAATTAATCAAATTAAAATAAAATGAAAAAAAGTAAAAATAAAAAAAATAAACAATATTAAATAGAAATAATATAGAGCTTTTACTGTTCAAACATGAAATGAAATAAATAATTAAAAATATATTAAACTAAATTAAGTAAGATAAAAAAACAATTTCACTTCTTTGAATATGAAAAAAATACTTCTATATTAAAAATATTAAATTAACAAATATATTAACTGACGAGCTAGATGAATTATAATTATTAAAATTAAAATAAAACAAAATTAATTAAAAAAAGTATAATAAAATTTAATTAAAATAAAGTTACACGGTATAATTAAAAAATCCAAATATAATATGAAACAAATTAAAATACATTTAAAATTAAATGAAGCAAAATAAGTGAGAATTAAATAAAGTGAAATAAAATGCCATAAATTAAATTGAAACTAAAAAAGGAGCTTCGCCGAAAAACACTTCAGCAGTTATAAAGCGCAAGTATAAATAATTAAATTAAAAAAATTAAGTTAAAAAATAAAATAAAGCAAATTCAAATTTATTTAAAATATAATGAGCTATATTAAAATAGTTTAACTAAGATAAAATAAAATAAGATAGATTAGTAAAGAAGAAGTTGAAACAATTAAAAATAGACTCATTAAAAAAATAAAACTAAATAGAAAAATAAAAACAATTGAATTATATTAAACATTCTTAAGCATTATAAAATATAAATAAATAAATCAACAGTAGAATATTGTTAATAAAAATAAATAATTAAGTGAAAAATAAAAATTAATATAAAACGTAATTAAAATTAAATAAAAATGAGTTATATAAAAAAATGTTCAGTAAGATAAAACTAACTAAATAAAATTAAATTAAATAAAACAAAAAATGCTTCATAAGTTATTGAAATCCAATTCTACATTAAACAAAAAAACAAGTTACATGAAATTGGAATAAAAAAATTAACTTAAAATTAAATTTATTTTAACGTAAAATCTTCGAGAAATCAGCCTCTAACAAGTCGAATGTTTTCAATTTTAAAACATTTTCAATAATAAAAATACATTAACTTCTCATACAAATACATATTTAAAATGGGGTTAATACTATTTTTGGTGTAATATGCTTCGTTTAGTTGAATATTTTCTTCTTCTTGTTGCCATATTGCATTGATTTGTATGGGCGAATATTCAAAATATCACTTTTGCACCACTCACACCTTGCACTCAAATACATGCATTTGATTCGCTTTAAAGCGTTTACTTTTTTGCTTTAGCTTTTTCTTTGGCCTTCGCTATTTGAACAGAAATAATCCGCTGCGCTGACTAGATTTCCTCTTTTTTTTACATTTACATACACATACATACATTTATAGTCGTTTTCTTTTCTGGCAGATGTACACTTTTATTGCATATCAACTAAGTTTCGTCATACGTCACATTAATTTAATTTTTAATTTTTTTTTTAATCTTTTTAATAAATTTCAAATTCAATGCTGCTTTTGTGTTTAGCTGGGTTTTTTTTTTTTTTTTTTAAGCGATTTGGTTTCCTTTTTTTACTATCGATTTCCAGGCATGAGTTTTGAGCCATCTTTTTTTGTTTGTTGTTTTTTTTTTTGTATTACATAATTTGTGCGCATACAATTCGTTTAAATGTTGCCATTTTCATAACATTTTACACATATTTATCATCTTCTTTTTCTTCTTTTATCTATTCACACTCGTTTTGTTCTTAGTATTTTATTTTTTGTTTTCTGTTTCGTAAATCTACTTTTTAAGTTCCCCCAAATCGCTTTGTGCTCATTTTTCCACTAACATACATATTTTGTGCTTCATTGCCTTTACCCACAGGATTCTAGCTTTTATGATTTTTTTTAAAAAAGTTTTTTTTTTTTTGTTCATATACAATATTTAAATTTAATAGGGAATTTTATATATTGCTTTTTTGTATGTTTTTTTTTGTTGTTTTTTGGTTTTGGTTTTGGTTTTTTGCAAAATTACTATTTTTGGTTCATTTTGCTCTAGTCAACTCAATAAATGTGGTAGAAAAGTGTTATTCTATACATATATAATATATGCTGGTACTGTATGTAGGTATGTATAATGGGCCAAAAAGAGTTTTTAAACTTCAAATTTACGTTTTTAAGTGCTGCTCATTATATTTCTTACCCATACCCAAACGTACTTATTTGAGAAAAAAATTCCTAAATTTCCAAACATAGTCATGCAAGAGCCCACTGTTCATATACAAAAAAAATTGAAGTAAATATATAAGTAGGCGTGTAAGTACATGAGTTAAGCCGTAAGTAGGTAAGTAAGTAAGTAAGTAAGTAATTAAGTCGTAAGTACGCTCTAACGCTTGACGCTTAGACCCTAATAGGAAACTGAATAAAATAGCAAGCATTGCTTCTTCTTCCTCCTCCTCCTCCCCTTCGTTTGTGCCTCTTCTCTTTTAATTAATGCTAAACACTAAGTGGTAGTTGCTTAAGTCTTACACTTAAACTTAAGCGCTTACAATGCTTAGTTCTTACACTTTTCTAGAGCTGGAGCTTAAGTGCTACTTAAATCTTTAGTTGTTGCATTTCGCATGCTCTCTACGAACACACCTTAATGTTGATTTATTTTATTTTATTTCTTATTTTTCTGGCACGCTAAAACAACCAGCGCCTACCACTCGCCGTTTACATCCTTCCTGGATTTATTTTTCATTTTTCTTCATTTTTCTTCATTTTTCTTCCTTTGTGCATTTCCTTGCTTACTTGCTTACCCAAGCCACACACCACACACCCATACATAAGTATATTTTGCATAGTAAATTTAACTAAATTTTATTTTCGCCTGCTTAGCAAGCTTTCTAACGCCTAACCTGCGCCCCAAACTCTTAAGTGGGACTGTCTGTTGTGGAAGCCGCCGCTGATAAGCTGCCATCTTGTAACTGGGCGAGCGCTTTGAATTTTTGCGAGTTGAGGAATCTGTGGTTAAGTGTGTGCGCGAGAGTGATAAAAAGAGAGAGAGATAGAGAGAGAGAACGAAGATTCGCTTTATTAAAATATAAATTATTTCATAATCATTTCGATCTCACCTTGGATATGAGTCTCGGTGCATGAGCGTATAGATTTGTATTTGCGCTTCGTCGAATGTGTGCGGTGTCGGCTCCACCATATTGCGATTGACAATCTCACGTACTCGTGAGTCCAGTGATACTTCCCGCGGCGACAATATCGATATATAATCCTCGTATATGAGACGCGCCTTCTCTTCGATCGCCTCTGAACTACTCTCTTTTTTCAGCTCTTCGCAGGCGAGCCAAAATAATATGTTCTCTTCGCTGAACTCGCTGCGTAGGAAGTCACGAAACACTTTGCGGCCAGCTGAAAGAGTGAATGGGATAAATAACGGAATAAATTAAAATAAAATCATGAAAGAAAGAATTTTAGCGATAAATACAAAGGGAGTAAGAATGCACACAAAAGATTCAATCGAACGAGCTTCTCATTCAACTTTTGCTGTGCTTCGTAATGCCCATACAGGGGGATGTGTGGACCAATGTGGCGGCGTTGGTGATGCTTTAGCCAAGGATAGCCCTGTTCATTAGAATACTCAAACTTAGTTCTATCTAGACCAGGATAATCTAGCTTCGCTCCCAAAATTCTGAGAAGTAAGGTAATCGTGTGGAAAGCAAAAAAACTCATAATCCAACCAAAGAAAGAACTTGATTGTTATAGTTTCAAACAGAAATTGTCGATAGAACATTTCAAGTAATATTGAAAGACGTAGACGGAAATAGCTCAAACTGTAGGCATCTCAATTGAACGGCTACATAGCAATTCATATGCACATATGAAATAGAAAAAGCTATTAAGCATTAAGGAGGCTTATTTCGAAATATTTGGAGCAAATAACGGAGTACCTCCTTTGTGGGTTGGGCAGACTACATTTAGGTTCCCATTCACCGACATGATTTCGTCTTTCTATATTCGAGTAACTCAGCCGCGAAGGTATCAGCATCCGCCGCTTTTTTAATCTTTAAACTTCCAATCGTTTTTCGAACTCCATCATAGTCGGCTGAAAGATCGTCTTAACCATCGTCATAGATTAGGGTTTCGGGTTCCCCATATCGGGGGCTTCATCTGTAAACTCAACTGAGCTCAGTATTCAGTTCGCCTTTCTCTCCGGGTGTAGTAATGTAGTCATGCTTCTGTGAATATAGTTACAGTCGCCGTAATATTCTCATTTCCTGCTCGGTATCTACTTCGTGCACCCTGGATACGAATAAAAGGGAGAGAGCTTCAGCGGATGCACTTCAAATATTCGACTTGGGACTTCGCTAAAATCTATTTGCATCACATGTTTACAAGAAGTGCGGCTGTGAGCAAGGGTCGATCTTGCAGGATTCGGCAAATGTGTATGAAATATAGACTCTAGTCACCTAAGGAGGTTGTATGCTGGATTTGGGAGCCGCCATGTAGAAACCAATTCCAATAAAAAAAAGATACGACGGCCTCGAAGGAGGGACTCTACTTTCAGATTTAAGGGCAGGTACGTAGAATGTCCGCTCCTTTGGTTGGGACGCTGACTTTATTAAAAGTAAGGCTCACCGCACAGCCATCAACGATACCCGATTGTGGCCGTGGAAGATTACTCTTTCTATTAAACACTAGTCTAAAAAGAACAATAAAAGCTATGCCTGCTCTTATAATTGCCATCGTGGTTCGGCCACTAGCAAAGACCAGCATGACTAAATATTCTTCACTGGATATATATATGTATACACCACTAGTCAGGCCCATCCCTTTTTATGGTATCACCCACCCTTGAAACTATCACTTTTAAGAGCAAACTATGTAGAGTTCAGCGGTCTACAGTTGAGTTTATAATAGTGGCTCTTCCGCTAACTACTACGAAAGTAATAGAAACTCTTCTACACTTTCTTCCTATAGATCAATGCGGCAAACAAATTTTGAAAAAGGTCCTTTTCGTTGATTTAAAGCAACCTTCGGCGGCACGAAAAGTATCTGATTCTACGAAGAATTTCTGAATTTGGTATTGATAGACTGTAGCTGATAGCTCCATAAGCCGACGTTAAGCAACGCCAAAAGCTCTGTTTGGATTGGAAAGGACCTCTTCGAGCCGTTCCAAACCAAATGAGATTCTTCAGCTGAATAGATGAGATACAAGTTTCTATAAGAGACATTATTGGTCTCAACAACCTTGAAATTCAAGGCAGGATCACTCTTTTCTACGGGTGCTAATTGGGACTGAGTTTGAAATTGAAAAGTGAAGTCCTCCCACGACAACATAGTTCAGGGATTCATGAAACAGTGGCTGCGCTAGCTTGTTCATGTGGTCTAAGAATACTCCAGCTTGGAAAGTTTTCGTTGCAGTATCCGGCAGTGGAAGCAGAGGAAGAGGAATAGTTCCACTGTGTTGGAAAGTTTAGGTAGAAAAGGATTTGGCTGTAGTTGGTATTTCAAATGGGCAGCAAACAAAAAGAAGAACCAATGAATGGCGCATTAGCAATTCGGCTAAACACTCGTAAGCAGTGTCTAAGTCAGTAAGGAGAAAAATAAATTTTTTTGGTTATTTTAAGAACATAAAAAACTTCCGCCCGTGTTACCATGTCAAGCAGACCACTTTAACTCCACAACGTCAAGTTGACCACAACGTGAAATTAAATGTCTGCGCTTAAGCGAATCAATAAGCACAACAGAGTGTGCAAAGAAATTTTCTCGGAAATCAAAAAGACAAGCAATAAACTCCCAGTGAAGTGTAGGAAATTATTTAATAAAGCATTTTTCTTTTTTGCTTGGATGAGTTGAAAAGAAATTAATTGCGGCTGAAAATCCATAGTAGCGCCCAACACGCAAATCACTGCTGGCTGGCACCAAATGCAAGGTAAATAGCAAATAAAAAAGTGAAACGCAGGAAAGCAAGCGACAGGTGAACAAGCAATGCGGCTGCTGAAAGAAGATTGAAGGCATCGCGTGTCTGAAATTTGCTTTGTTTTTTTTATTTCATATTTTCACATTAAGCGATTTTTTGTGTAATAACTAACGAAACAGTAGTGGCGCGTAGAGCGTGCCGCCATAAAAGTAACAAATGTGTATGAATAAAATATGTAGTGTAAACGCATAAATTCAAGGGAAGCCACACACACACACACACAAACAGTGACAGCGTATGATTCATAACCACAAACCACCTTTTCGTGAGCAAAGGACGCCTGATAAATATATATAACATATCGTGTAAGTGGCCTATTTAAGCACACTTTCCAGCAGAAAGTAAGAGAACAATAAAAACTTAAATAACAAACAGACAGCAACTAGTTAATAACCAAAGTAAACAAGAAATGTCAGCGAAATTTCACCGAATGTCACCGAAGTAGGCTCGATACAACTGACGCATAGTCAAAAGCAACGGCTCAGGTATTCATCAAGCTAAATAAATACATAAGCAAATAAAAGTGTAAGGAAGTAAACCCAGGTAAGTGAGTTCAACAAGCGTTTGCGCAAGCGGAAAAAAGTGGAAATAGAAAATCACCAAATGAAATTACTTACGATTATTGATTTAATTCTTCAAACTTATGCCGTTAAGACTAAAAGAAATGAGTTTGTTCACTCAACGCAGCCAAAGTGGCTGACTTCTTGCGGCATAAAGAGGGTAAAGGTGTTTGCTATGTGCTTAGGTTGGCATGGCAAGCCTCACTGATATCCCCCCCCTGGTGTGTCTCACTTAGTTAAACACTTTGATTTATTCATAAAAATGATGACAAATATTCGCAACATTTTGTCTATTTTTATTACGTTATTGTTTTCATTTGCATTTCCAATCGTAAGGTATAGTCTAAGCGTGCATATTTTTAGAGATTTATTGGTGACAAATCAATGACAAATGACAGCTTGAGTTAGTTAGAAAAATTCAAAAATGCCTCCAATGACAGTCAAGGTTATGGAAGGTCAAGCTTTTATGTTTAAGTTTTCAAGGATTTTCGTATTAATTTCTGTATTAATAGAATACGTAAATAACTCTTTCATTTTCATTACTCGTACTCTGCTATAATGTTGCTCATACGCCACGGCATATTGTGCCATTTATTATACATGTATACTTCAAGAAGACATAAAACTCATTCAGTTTAATATAATGGTGAAGCATTAAGCTTTATTATAAAGGTAAACACCTGCCATTATGTTTTAAAAATGATTTTAGGCAATTAAAAGTTGCTGCTGGCTCGTATAAATTCCAGCCAAGAGGCACAATTTTCGACCACTTTTTTGCGAAAATTGGTGAAGTAAATAAGCGCCAAATATTCTCTTCCAAGGCTTTACTCGCCTCGGAATTGTATGTGTAAGCAAGCCACTTCACATAACATCACGACAAATAGTCCAGCGATTTTAGTTCGCACAATCTTGTATGCCACGCCACAGGTTCACGCGAGATAATGCGTTCAGGAAAGGACTATTTCCGTAAATTGAAATTTACGTTGGCTATGTGATATTTAGCGCAGTGTTGTTAGTACCAAAGGTTGATCACATCAACATACACCAACTCAGGTACAAAAAATTGTGGAATATCAGCATGCCGAATGCGACAACCAAAAATGTGCTTCATCGTTGAACACATTTTCGGCTACAATTCTGGTAGGTTTTATAAGACCGCGAACCATAATCCTTTCGCAAAATCTTTCTTAAGCTCGATGAGCTCATTTGGTGCTTCTTCGGTACTCTGCTCAAGAAGAGCAATAGCGGATCTCTGAGACTGTGAATTTTCTACTAGATTAAACGTGATTCGAAACCCATCCGTGGTTGCTGGACAATAATACCGAATGAATATTGAACTCAGCGAGTGATGCGACATGGGAATCGAAACAACTCTCGTGGTTCTATTGTACTTTAAGCGATATAAGTTTAACTATATCTCTCTAATATTTCCAACTCTTAAATTTCACTTGATTTTTGGTAGTATTTCGTCCCTTAAGCCAATCGGAAGTGCAAACCATAGTTCTTCAGTAAAGGCCGTCATAAATTAGCATGGCCAGATCTACACGTCTTATTTTTCTCCCAGCAAAAAATTGACGAAGTCGTGCCATAAAGTGTCACCCTGTCTAAAGACTCCTTTGTTACTAAACGGATGTGACAAGTCCTTCCCAATTCTAGCTGCGCTTCAGTATGCACAGCCGTATAAGTTTTGCAAACGCACTAAATACAGTCAATAGTGACATATAGACATCTAAACATAGCGCTATCGAGGTCAGCTTTAAAATCGATGAAAATATGGTGCCCATCGAAATTTGGCCCAGACCTTCTTAGGGATTTGGCTATTTAGTGGGCTGAAGTAGTATTCTTTCCCTGGTCACCAGATTGCTGGTTCCTGGAGTAGCTGGCAAATGCTCGAAAATTCTACGAAAAGATACTAAAACCTACAGAAGGTTTCAGGACACAGAGAGGTGATCTTGTGACTGATGCCCAGAATTTATGGAGAAAACACTTCTTCAGCTTGCTTGATGGCTGTGGAGATGGGATACCCGGAGTTAGCTAACTCGATTTTCTCGATATCGGTGACGCAGGAGCAGATGATTCTTTGGCTGACTTTGAAGTAGTTCGATGGTAAAACAAAAATGCGGCCGGACTAGATCAACTTGGTGGAAGCAGATGAAAAGGATGACCTCTCTCTTCTCTTTCTAGGAGGGATTGACTAGGGAAAAGGTTACAAAATAACATGCAAAAAGTGTGGAGCAAAAAAATATTTGCTCTCTTTCTTATTGTTTTTTTGACCATTTGATTTTCTTAAGTTATGTAGTTTGTGTTTGTTGTTTTTATAACCTCAAAAAAATCCCGGAACTACTTTTCGGGGAATATTCCGGGAGGCACGGTCTTTGGCTGGTTAAAAACTCAAATTGCTCCGGTATAAAGGCCCGACTGTCGCGAAACCTGTTGAACTTTCATCGCCTCTTACGACAGGCATGCCTTATCACGGATAAATTCTTAAGTCCCTAACTCGCAAAGGTTCATGTTATCCCGTAGTGACTACCTGTCGTATGACTTGGGGAGTTAGACAAGACAAAAAAAAATGACTCTTTTCCCAGCGTTCTCTTGCACAAATTCTTCTCTCAAATCTTTTTCATCCTTCTCTTAAAATAAAATCTGGCTTACAAGGAAGACCACTATCTTTAGCAATCGAAAATGAAGAAAACTATCACCGAACTTGAAAAGAAGGTTCAGTTCACCAGTAAAATACGTAAACTTTCACTTTTAGTGCCGAAAAATAATTTCAAGAATTTTACCAAAAATATTCAATTCCACACTTACTCGCATTTTTCATTAGCAAATCGAAACTTTTGCCCCAACTTCGTATCTCCTCCAGACTAGGCCTGTAAATTGGTAGAAAAGCACAAAGCATACGTTACAAAATTTTAATAAAAAAATATCTTTATTTACTCACTGTTCACCGTCTAGTAAGAGATCCACGCTCGCTGGATCACGTCTTGTTGGTGCGTTGTCTTCCGCATTTTTTATTGCCAAACTGAAAGAGATAAGAATTTTATATTGAAAAACTATTTAAACAATTAAATAAATAACTTTTAGAATAATACAATTTTAAGCAATTGGTATTTAAATATAACAGATTTATTTGCTATAGATATTTATAAATATATGTATGTTTACACCTCGAAATTATCTAAACAAGCAGCACAAACATATCTATTTACAATATGTATACCATATATTTCCATTCAATGAGTATACATACAAAGTTAGCACATTTTTCTGCATAAAATCACTCATGGCTGTATACACATATATTATATACGCGTATATGTATAAGTATAAGAAGTTGTTTGTACGTATGCACGCGTATGCTGTAGCTAAGCGTTTGAAAAGCGTGTGCAACCAGCTGTTTAGCTATTTAGCATAAAACTAAATCACAGATATTGTCTGCGTTGACTGACTGCTGTGTAAATTCATTGGGATTTTAATTAGATTTGGAGCAGCAGAGCAGAGCAGAGCGTAATTGACGGTGCTCATATAGAGCACATGCGATCTGCAGAGCATATTCAGCCAGGTATGTATGGCACCTACCATATATTATATGAAGGTTTGGGGTGGAAACTTTTATTGGACGGGCGTCGTTAAAAGAAGAGAAAGAGTACGAGCTAATTAAAAAAAAACTGTTTTTTTTTTTGTTTTCACGGGAAATCCGTGCCCATGTGAGTGGTCAAAAGGTAGGCAAAAAAAAACTTACAAAAATATTACTCTATTTTATTTTATTATAATTATTTCTTGATTAATGTTTAAGTGTATTTTCAATTAAGTTCTTTTTTCATTTTATTTTTTTATATAATTTTATTTTATTTTTTTATTTTATTTTATTTTATTTCATTTTATTTTATTTTATTTTATTTTATTTTATTTTATTTTATTTTATTTTATTTTATTTTATTTTATTTTATTTTATTTTATTTTATTTTATTTTATTTTAATTTAATTTATTTTATTTTTTTTTTTTATTTTTTTTTTTATTTTATTTTATTTTATTACAGTTCTTATTTTCATTTTTTGCCGGCTTTGGTTACCATGCATTTTAATCAAATGTGGCATAATTTGGATTTTTTTGGCATACTCGCATTCTCATACAATTTATTTTTTACAATACTAACCCATTAGTTCTGCACGATACTTAGGTGAATTTAATAATGACTAACTACAGCAACAAAAGAGAATAGGTGTCTTTGGTCATGCCGCAACCTTTATACCTTTCATGATCACAGCATCTTTGTGGTATTTCTTTTCAGAATTAAAAGAAAAAAAATACTAATATCTGAAAATCTTCTCAGGGGCCCATAAGATTCGACGAATTTCGATGTCAATGTACGAGGGCCGCCCGACTTGTGAGCGACCGAAAGTAGTTAATGAAACGAATTTATAATTTTATGTTTTCCATTTTTGCAATATACCTAGTCTTCCTCAAGTGGAACACATTTTTGACGTCGAGAGTACAATGTCTTCATTTCACTAAAAAAAAAATATTCTTTAGATTTTTCTTCAAAATGGGTTCTACGGCCGCTTTTGTCTCACTGTCGTCTGATTGTGATGATGAAAGTCTTCGTCCCCGTAACTCCGTTTTTAAATTTAAAAAACCGAAAAGTTACTGTGAGTTAGGTCCGGACCGTAGGGTGGTTAATCAATTTCTGTAAATCCAATAGCTTTAAGGTATTCCGAGCTATGTAGACAGGTGAGTTATCTTGAAAAAATAGTTCTCTTTACGTTAACTTGCCACGTCTCTGTTCGGCTTTTTAACTGTCCAATGCACCTTATTGAAATATCTCTAAAACCGAGGGACGAGTTTGTGTACAAACAGACGAGCCCGGTTAAATCAACTGAACTGGGCATTCTAGTCATATCGGTATAACTCTAGAAGGGTCTAGCTCTTCCCATCTTTTAAATATTTGCTAATCATTTTCTGCAATTCTAACTGATGCGACGGGCAGCCGAATGGAATGGAAACGGGTAGCCGAATGGTTGACTTTGCGTTCTAACATTCGGAAGGGTTGGGATCAAACCCCGGTTATGGAAATTTAATTTAGATATAAAAATTTAGTTAAATTTTCTCGGTCGAAAAATCGTTTCAGCGGTTGCACAGCGCCAATTATATATATATACATAATTTATACTTTATTTAAAATTTTAATTGAAAAATTGTCTAAATTTGAAACTTTATTTTTCCTTAATTCCTCTCTGCGCGCCAAAATGTATGCAAGCTTTTTTAGCCCAAGGTGTAGTAATTCGTTACTAGTATATGAGCGTTATTTAATTTTTTAGACATCAAATAACTTTTTTACATATAATTTTACGCTGTAAATATTATTTCAGTTAATTCAAGGTTATAAGAGTTATTTGAAAACTTATTAAAAAAGTTTTTTAAAATAAAATTATGCATTGATACATTTCATACGGTGGAAAAAAGTTAGAAATAAAGGCAAATAAAAATGATATATTGCAAAATATAAAATAGATGAAAAATCCATTCCAGTGCAAGCGCCCGATATTCAAATAAAAATTAAAAATATCCGTATTATTATTATTTTTATCAGAGACTTCTATTTATAGATTCAAACAGCTAATTGCAACATATGTTTCAGTTTTTTTTTTATTATTTAAGCCCTATTTTCTCTTCAAATATTTCTTTATATCCAATAACATTTTTCCAATATTTGATTTTTTCTATACTGTATATAAGTCTGTATGTATTTTAGCGTACGCGTTTTTAAGCTAACATTGATTTTAATACAAATATTTTTTTTCTGCCCTTATCACATAGATAACACATTTTTTTAGCTGTTTTGCTTTGGTTTAATATTTCATTTGTTTTTATATACCTTTGTTGTACTTGGGTCCGAAGTATGTAAGTACCAGAAGCAGAAGCGGTAAACCCAAAACCTATGTCAATATGATCAGTTTTTAGCGATATTACCAGCAAACTTCATAAACAGATGCCCTAGTACATTTAAACTGAAATTTACCGCAACCGGCTAGATCGGATCACTATAGCATATTAAGGGCCATTTTTTATATTTCAGAGGTTGGACCACAAATCCGTCGAAAAATCATCTAAGAGCGTGAAAATTGGTAATGAACAAACAAATAATCATATATAATAGCAACTGAGGGCATGAAACTTTGTCTTCTACACACCTATACACAAATAAATATGGACGCCGCAGATTAGCGAAAAAAATTTGTCATATGTATAGCTGCCTCCAACCTATTTTTCAGATATGAGAATATACATTTAATCCCAAAATAAAATTTCATAAATTTTATATTGTTAAGAGGGGTGAAAAAAAACATCGGTATTGCCGAAGACAACGCTTCCTTTTTGTTTTATTTATTTTTGTTTGATTTTTCCGGTATTTTCTTTTTTTGTTGTTGTTTTTGAGTATACTTTTGCTTTTTTGGATTGCATTTTCAAATTTTCTCTGCCACAGTTGTTTACTCCAAACAGAATATATATGTATTTTTTTTTTCTTTTGTTTTGCAGATAAGCTTTTATCTCACATTCAATCGATTAATTGTAATGTAAGTTAAAATCGATAAACAAAAAGGGCAATAAAAAAATTCATTGAAACAATATGGATAATTATAATTTAGAAAAGCATTTTTTGATTTCTTTAGTACTATTTCTTTGAACTTTTATTCACACTTTTGTTATATTTATTTTAATTTTCTTGTTAAATTTATTTTAATTTTTTTTTTTTAAATTTTCTATTTTGAAATTTTATTTCGATCAATTTTTTTTTAATTTCTATTAATTTCTGTATTTCAAATCCGTTTAAATGTGATTTAGATATATAGAAAATGCGGTTATTAACTTTCATTAATTTTAACTGCTGTTACCTGCGTCACTGGCAGCTGCTGCTTTATTATACATACCTTTGTTTCAATTTTTTTAGCAAGTTTCGCCAGCGTTCACTCATAACGACTGCCACATACAGGTATCAGCGCAACAACACTACTTTCACGTAACCAAAATAGACATTTAGTTCATTTATTTAATTATTTTTTTACTTTTTATTTTTTTTTTTTTTGTTTCAGAAAACAAAATTGAAAGAGATTTTACTATGTGTATTGCTTTGTTGCATTGTGGTTTTTAGTCAATCAATCATTTGCAACATTAGCACACCTTCTGCAGCAATTAGGAAGTGTCGTTATTGTTGCTATTGTTTTTTGCCTGACAATCGAAGAAACCAGACTCATGCAATCATTTTTCAAAACACAAAAGTCTACACAAACACAGAAATCTGGTCATGAAGAACGTTGAACATTGAAAGGAAAACTATTATTAATTAAAGTTACTCATACGCCCTGCCGAGCGAAGTGAGAAAACACTGCAATCCCCAACACACACAAGCAATGAGCGCAGCAAGCGGCTTTATATACAAGTATTTTGTTGTTTTAACTGCATAATTAGCCAAACTTGTCGGTCAAATAGCCGCGCAAACAGCAGAAGTGGTTCTTATAGTTGTTTTAGTACCACTAAATGGTAAACCCCATATACATACATATTATATGTACAACTGTACGCTTGTACAAATTGGTTTGAGTGTGTGCTTTCATGTCAATAACAATAACAAACTGAAATGTCGCTACGAAAGACGAAGAAAAAACGGAAAAAAAAACTAAAAAAGAAAAACACAAACGCTCGACTGAAGCGACGACAAATCGTCAAATGCTGAGCCAAGGGCCACTGACGCAAGCTACATAAGTACAGTGGCACTAAGCCAGTGACTCGGCATTGCCTAGGATTCACTTAAATAAAGTGTCTGAGACATATTTATGTATATGTGTAGATTACAACAACTTGACTGGCACCAACAGTTGTGTTTGCTTGCTATGTGACCATGTACTTTTGTGGCCAAAGCGTATGTTCGTAACATACGAGTATATACACCAAGTACATGCACATTGGCGAGTACAAGAGAGTTTACGAAAATTTTCATTTTGACTGACATATTTTTTTACTTA